ATGCCAAACATCTGCTGGTTCCAGTATCTCCAAAGTGAGGATTTTTCATCCTCCGTCATTGTAAATTCAAATCAATAATGAACATAATTGTTCTATTACTAATACTAATACTCACTTTCAGGTTCTCCTTTATACAGGGCATCTTCATTGAAGGAGAATATATTTAACATCTTGATTATTTTTAATGATTTTACTGATTAATATATTTTAAAAAACATAAATACAAAATTATTATATATAACTACTGTGTTCATTGTGAATGACACAGAAAAGACGATTGATTTCCATTTCATCATTGAACTTGTGCTTCAACTTCACATTATTAACAAAAAAACAACCCTGTAACACACTTTTGCAGCACTTTTTACACTGTTTAACAGTTGCGAACTGTGGTAAATGTTTATTCCACCGCACAGGAGCACAGTCTTCAAAATAAGTTCCGTAAAAGAATATTTAATAAACCCACAGCATTTTCTTTAATAATGTTTACATTGTGAAATTTAAAATATATGTCACGTACCTTTCAGGACTTCCCGGTGATCTTCCATGGCGTGACTGGTATTGATGAGCGTGAGGCCAGCAGTCCTTCATTCTTTAACGTAGCAGAGATAGAGGTGCTGATGGACTACGTGAAGAAACTGCTGCAGACACAAGGCAGGAAGGGCCTGGCTACCATCTCACCCAGAGATATAGGAATCATCGCCCCCTACAGGAAACAGGTTAGAATTTATTCAATTCAACACACACAGAATACCACAGTTTGTTGTTGTCTCAGAGTACAAAACAAGACAAATAACATCATTTTCTTTGTGTCACACAGGTGCAGAAAATCCGTAAGGCTCTGGAAAAAGTTGGGAAAGACCTTAAATTTAAGGACTTGGACAAGCTCAAGGTAATTAAATATTTCACACTTAAGTAACTTAGAAACACACAGCATAAGCAGTGTCTTAAGTGTATATGTGTGTGTGGTGGTTGTGTGTGTTGTGTGTGTCTGTGGTGTGTGTCTGTGTGTGTCAGGTTGGTTCGGTGGAGGAGTTCCAAGGTCAGGAGAGGAGAGTGATCATGGTGTCTACAGTTCGGAGCAGCCCCAATTACGTAGAGATAGACAAACAGTTCAACCTCGGCTTTGTCAAGAATGAGAAGGCACAGAACAGAAACACATGCAGGTACACTATATGTACACACAAATCATTATTCTGACACACTCTTCTTTTATCCAGAGATTCAACGTGGCTGTGACTCGAGCTAAAGCCCTGCTGATTGTGGTGGGAAACCCCAGGGTGCTGAACACAGATACTACCTGGGCCCGGTACGTGTCACATGGCTACTTCTGGTCTCTGCTGTCAGCGTACATACATGAACGTTTACGTTAGCATTGAATCGTTAATGTTTTTCTCTGCATCCCTGCTTGTCTGCAGCTTCATCCAGTACTGTCAAAATGAAGGAGGCTACACCGGCTTTACTCCAGCAGAGGAAGAGGAGGACATTGTGGAGAGACTCTCTGTTCTCTACCTCAGCATCGAGGCTACAGGTAACCGACACATATTGTCATTTTCATTCGTATCCCCCCTCAAATTAACATTTCAAATTGATGCTTAAATTGTCCACCTTGCTTGTTTTCTGTGACTCGTTTCAGTGGAGACCGCCGAGAGTGTTGTTCAGCAGCATCTGGACCCCGAGTGGAGGAACGACCTGTGAGGGAAAGGAAACTTCCATCCCTTGAAGGGATTCATTTTGCTTTCAGACTGGAATACTTCTTCACCAGATGCTTTAAAACAAAATATTCATAACAAGATTTTTTACATTTGTACTTAATGGCTGCCATTTACAAGACAAGAATAACAAACACAATATGTCTTTAATGTCAGCTATATGAACTTTACCAAAGACCACGAAGGACAGGGAGCTGATTCATGTTCAGAGCAGTTTGTCTTCGGCTACCTCAGTGGATAGCATTAAAACCTCTTTTAAATATTCCTTTTACACAGTTAAAACCACAGCTAATCATGAGACCTGAATCTTCAATTTTAAGTTCATTTATATTATTTAAAATTAATTTTACCAACCAAAACTTTCAGTCTCAGGTTTGTTATTTAATTAACAGTTTTAGACTTTCAACCGACTGCGGCAGGGTCCATGCATGTATGAAGTGTCCAATCTATTTTTAAATCACTGTGATTCAATACAGATATATTTTTATTGATATTAACCAAATAAAAAAATGTCTATGGTCTATTTTGAACTATTTGCTATTTTAAACTATAAAGTAAATGTTCAAATTACAAATTTCATCCAAACCAGAGCTGGAAATTGTATCATTTGGGATTTTTATTTTTTTTCAAATGGCAATTTGTAGTTTGTTTTTCATGCCATATTGAAATCAACGTAATCTAACTGCTGCCTGAAACACTGGGGAAAATACAAATCCAAGACACAATGGTATACTTTGGAAATGACAGTAATTACATGTGATTTGTATAAATTAATTTAATATTGGTCCTTTTGCTAATGGAGATGTTACTGCTCGTCAGAATTTGAATGTAAATGCATTTCTAAAGAAAAACTACAAGCATTCACACGACTTTGTTTCACTTTTTCAAAATAAAAAGCATGAGCAAAATCAAACCAATTAAGATTACATAGTATTTCAAAAATACTTTATTAATGTGTTTGTCTCATCCAGACAGTCAACACATCCCACTCCTGTTTGTAAAGCGTCATCACAATCAACATTTTCTCTTGAACTACGGTGTTTTGACATTACAGACATAGAGGCACTGTTCAAGAATTAGCCCGAGCCCGTAACATTCTGATCTCTGGATCTGAATGTACTGAATAAAGGAAAGATCACCACAGTTGTAGCTTATAATGGTGGTAGGATCAATGTGGGGACCATTAAATACACTGATGGTGTGTTCAGGGCTCTTTTATGACAGGACCTGTTAATGTAATCTGCATATCTTTACTCCAGTCATGAAACCGAAGCGCTCGCTGACTGTATCAGAGGGCTGCCTGTAAGACGATGAGGTGGTTTGATGAGAATACACGTCTGGAAAAAAGTGTAAATTGTGGTTGCAAAGTTGGCTTTCCATTCCAATTTTGTTGCAGATTTTTTATTAATTTCCTGAGAACAGCACCTTTATGACACATGAATGTAAAGACATTTTTTTTACCGTTACCCAAACACCCCCTTATTCCCAAGCATACACACCCTCATTCCCAGGCATACACACCCTCTGTTAATCAGTTGGCCCCATTTCAACGACCTTTAAGGGCTACTAAAGGGAAAACTTTTGATCATTTTTCCAATCACATTTTAAGGAATATTTTGAGTGGTGTCAAATAAAGTCCTGGTAGACACAAACGAAACCCCGATTTAAAATAGTCAAGAGAGCTACTGATCTGGTGAGTCAAACTGAGGAGATGGCACACTGATAATGTCTGATCCGTCAGTCAAGTTGTCAGTTGAAGATTTTATTACGTTTATAAACAGAATGGGCCTATATTCTGTCTGAATATCAATATATATATATTATCCAACCTGTAGATTACAGTGTGCACTTTTCCTCAGAAAATCCAGTACACGGTGATGTCTAATAACTATATACTGGATCTGAATCAACAGTACGGAGTTCAAACAGGAGGCTTGTTTGGGGGAAGGCATTGGTGACGTCTTGGTAGAGGCAAGTTTGTCAGTGCCAGTGTGAGCATGACTGAGTGTATTGTGTCCGTTACAATAGACCACTGTCTCCAGTGCCAGTTCAAGCTATCGCTGTGGAAGAGAGAGAGAAAAGGTGCAGTCCAAAACCTCTCCACACAAATAACCACTGCTGCTTCAGTTTATGTAGGTTTCAGTGTATTAATGCAGTGACCACACTCTAAATTTAGTCCTTTATGTCAGAAGAGAAAGATGGGGGGGAAAACAGAGCTCTGCTGACTCAGCACTTGGTGAAATAGGACTTTAAGGGTGTAAAATGAAAAGTGGTGTGACAAATAGATTGTGACTGAAGGAGACGCGGGTTCAAGAGAAGCAGAGGTTCCATACTAATGAAAAGGAAATCTCAAACCGTTGAAGCAACACAGTCAGTGGGCATGTGAGCTACAAGACCCTTCTCTGTAAACAATCATAACACAGACGCATGATATATTTGTAAAGTATATGCACATATAAATACAAACATACATTCATAGAAGAGGAAGGGGCAGGTCCTTCACACAAACAGGCTGGTGGAGGAAAACAAAACAGCAAACAAACAGGAACAAAGCTGACAGTGTGCGAGTAGCAGAGGGTTTTTTTGTTTTTTTAAATGGATTTGTTTTGCTTTTAAACAGGTGTGTCAGTCTTTCATATTCTCCTGTGGCAAATCTGCATCTGTGAAGTAAGTATAGTCCACGGAAGCCATTGATTTAAGGTTTCTCTAAGTTTGCGCTGTGTGTAAAGGGGGGAGTCCTCCTTCAGCTGCTGATTGGCCAACAAACTCCGTCCCCTCACAGTAGCTGGCAGCCGCCCCTCTTCTTACGCTTGCGGACCTGCAGCGCTGCTCTGGTTGCCATCTCAAACACCTCCCGCACGCCGTCCTTGGTCTTGGCAGAGCACTCCAGGTAGCCAAAGGCACTGATGCGGTTGGCCATGTCTCTGCCCTCCTCAGACTTAACCGGCTCCTGGAGGTTTAATGTACAGACGGTGGGTTAAAATGACGCTGTGGGTATAGACCTTCAACAGTGAGGTTGATTCATTTTAAGATCGTTTGTTGCCGGTAACACGACACACACGCACCTGTTTCATCTTGGCCAGCTCCCTGCGAGTGTGTTCATCATTCCTGAGGTCCTTCTTGTTACCCACGAGAATGATCGGGACGTTGGGACAAAAGTGTTTCACTTCAGGCGTCCATTTCTCGGGAATGTTCTCTACAAGAAGGGAAAAAAAGGAATTAGAAAAACAAGTCACTGCACATTAAATTCCAGACTTTTCTCCCTACAAGGACAGTTGGGGGAGGCCTTGTCATTTCCCTTGTGACTCTACAGACATAAACATCAAGAGGTTACTGGCCCCTCCCTAATGGCTGAGTCTGCTAGCCAAAATCTGTGCTGTCTAGAGGGAGATGCCATGCTGCGATAAGAGTGGGCATACCATCTGTGGCAGTGCCCATTTCAAAACACCGTGGGAGAAAACCCCAGGGCTGAAGTCTGAGTAAGCAAGACATTTTCATCTGTTTGGTATTTGAAGGTCAAGAATACTCTGATCCAAGCCTGGAAGTGTGTGCGCTTCCAGAAAATGCTTTCATAATCAGAATCTGACAGCAGCAGCTAGGTCATAGTCTAAATTAAAACCCATAAGAGTCTCTATGAAGGATGCATTGATTAGAGTAAATCTACAGTATGACAGTCTTTGATACTCTAACTTCAGGTTGTTCAACTTCTTATACATTTAAAAAAAGAAAAAAATCCCAATTATTTATTCAAATTGCTGTAGCTGCAAAACAGTCGTGTGGAAGTGAGTTACTAAACCAGAACAGGAAAGCAGACTAACAGCTAACTGCAATAATTTAATCACACTCATGAAGAAACACCATCTGAATAAGCATTATGTTTTCATAAAGTGGATCATTAATTGCATGAAGGCTGCATACGAGCAGCAAACAGGGAATTGTAATGAAAAACACAGGAATTACCAGAAGGGAAAAACCTATAAAGAGGATGAGTTGTGATTTTACTGCACTGACAGATGAGCCCTTTACACTCAGAGGGAACTTCCTATCAGGTGTTATTGGCCTATATTCAGTATCTGTGCATGTGGCACTGATACTGAATATCTGAGTCATTGTACACAGAGCAATGCAGGAGCAATAGCGTGGCAGGCTGTCGACTCTACAAACCGAGGCTCAAAATGACTGCAAACCACAAAGCTGTGGAAGGTGATAGAAACTGTCAGCAGTGTGACAGCCGACAGGCAGGGCGGCGACTGGTGCAAACTGCCAGGGAAGTCGGGTAAACCACCACGCTGGTACAACCTCCTCCCTACTGCCATTTTATAACTGAACTATGAGTCTGGTGTTTCCGCAACCCAGATGACAGAGAAAGACATTACAATGTGATGTAGGCCATAGCATGACACTCATGTAGGCTGATTTAGGAGTTTAGCCTTGTGCTCAACTGTGTTGCTAAGTGTTGCTAAGCGATATGTATCCAGCCTTACCTAAACTGTCAGGGCTATCTATGGAGAAGCACATGAGGATGACGTCTGTGTCGGGGTAGGAGAGAGGCCTCAGTCTGTCATAGTCCTCCTGACCTGCTGTATCCCACAACGCTAACTCCACCTGAAAAAGACCAAGAACAAAAACACGTGACACATTATTCAAATGAGGCAGGATATTCCCACTACTCTGACGGCAGTATGAAGAGGGTGGAGGTGAACAGAGACAAAGAGAATATGGGCATCAAGAACAGAGGCAGAATAACTGGAGAGAGAGAATATTTGAAACTATTCATTCCACTGCAATCAGGCCTAAAAAGCAACTCCTCGGGGATAAAGACGGCTCCCGTAGGCTTTTCTTAGGCTGTTAATCAAACTGTGGACAATCCCAGAGTGCCTGACCTGATCTAGATAAAACAAAAACACCCAGCCCCAAAGAACCATACAGGAATGTCTTCTACACAGTGGCCTAGAAGCATCACTGCTGTGGTCTCTTAGCTTTTACTGTAATATTGACCCATCTTCTCCTGCATGCTGCCGATTTAATCCAACAGTAACATCACCAACATTACAATCACAGCTCAAAAACTGTGCCTGGTGCAGCTGGGAATTGGGTAAAAAACAAAAACAGTCCTAATTGTCCCCCAGAGAGCAACTACACAATATGTTAGCAGTTAATCTGGACTTTTCTGACGTCTCCCCACACTCGTGTCTTGCCAAGTCTTGCTTGTTGGCTGACAAATGATTTACCTTGGCAAAGCTGGCTGGCCACACCGCCTTCTGACTTATAGTTTAGCGTAGAGCATTTTCCATAGTATATGAGACATGGGGGCTGAGCTGCACCACATCTTCTGTCTGGGAAAGTGAGCAACACCACTCCATGACAAACCTGTGTCCATTTCTGCTGCTTTTGGACTATTTTACCACTAGGTGTCTCTTTTACTACATGCTGCCATTTACAGCTCCTTTCATAGTTTTTGTAACCGCAACTAAATATAATAAAAGAATGATAAGTTGGGGTTAGCTGCAAGTTCAACAGTGACAGTGACTTGTTCTATTAGTAATATTTCACTACAAAAAAAAAAAAATAAAATCATTTGGGAGGCTTGGAGTACAGTCAACTTTGTATTATATAGCACAGGAAACAGGAACAGGAAATGGGACATTAGTCATGATGTATGAGGGATGGGGGGTTCCAACACTGATCAGGAAGGTGGCACTGATCCATTTCCTGTTGTTGGCTGGAGGTCTGCTGCTTTATAACAATGAAAAGACCCAAAGACTTGCTTACAATACTCACTTACCCCCACGGGCCTTGATGGCACGTGGTTCTTGACCACCAGGGCCAACGGGGTCACATTTTAACACTACAGCAGCAGTTTCAGTGTGACACAAACCATCATATCTGAGGAATGTTTCTAATTATCAGCAGTGGAAGATAAACTCATATCTGTTCCTCGAGTAAAGGAACTAATACAGCAGTGTAAAAGTACTCCATTTCCAGTCCTGCATTGAAAAGTGCGTAAGTATTATCAGGAAAGTGTACTTATGGTATCACCAGTAAAAGCGGTAGGTGTCCCTTGTGACTGCTACATTATCATATATTACATTATTAGCTTGTTAATATTGATGGAATAATGTGCACGTAGCATATTACTGTACAGCAGATTGAGGTCCAGGTAGTTGTTCTACTGCACATTACAACCAGTTACAAATCTGCTTTCATCTTTTGGACTTTACTCTGACATAGTTGGGCCTCAAACTGATTTAAAGGAATCCATTGGAGAGCTTTAGAGGGGAAATATCTCTTTGGTGGAACGTCTAGCATAAAATACATACAATATACTCCAAAGTACTTTGAGTAAACTAGGCAACTTTGTTACTTTCCACCAAACTAACCAAAACAAATAAAAGTTTAATATAAAATATAATGTACCTGTTTGCCATCCACTTCAATGTCAGCGATGTAGTTCTCAAACACAGTGGGGACGTAGACCTCTGGGAACTGGTCCTTACTGAAGACGATGAGCAGACAGGTCTTCCCACACGCACCATCCCCAACTATCACCAGCTTCTTCCTGATAGCAGCCATCTACAAACAGAATACACGTTGGTTAGTTATATATATATATATTAAGAATTGAGACGCATATGAGCAAACAATCAGTAAACTGGTGAGAAACAGGTCTCTTTGGACGGAGGAGGGAGGTGAAACAATGAAACCAGAAATAGTACGAGTGAGGGCGACGGGGGGAAAAAGAAGAGATGATCGCAGTCTGTTTTAGAGCCGCACCCTCTTCCCTTTCCTGGGCTGCGTCCTGTGTGTGAGGTGGAAAACAGAGTGGGACTGAGGGATCGCCACTGGTCTGGAGAAGCAGTGGGAGGGAAGGGAACAGGAGGAGAGCCACGGTGCTCTGCACACCGCTGCGCATGAATGGCCTTGGACACAATCGCGTTAAAAAACGACCCTGAAGTGTGTCACTTCTCCATCCCTGCGGCCTCGTGATCTACAGCTCTTACTGCTGTTTGTTGACTCCTTCTGTAGGTGTGTGTATGTGCCACAGAAAGATATGGCCCCGCACACCAACACACACGGATCAATAGCCATCTCCCACAAGCCGACAATAATGGAAGGGAAGGCGGTAGGTGATGAGACAATGCAGTGGCAGCCTGCCAGCAGCGTCAGCTTTCACCGATCTGACTACCTGGACCAAAAAGAAGAACCCCTCTACCATCTCACACACAGCAAGTATTCTTTAAAGCAGCTGTAATCAATAGTTTCACATTAACGACGCATCATATGATTACTCGTACGTGTACGGTGTCGCTCCAAGTGACGAAAACCACAGAAATTATTACCCGATTCTGCAGTTGTCCTCACCTCATTTTTCAGATCATTGTTTTGGTTTTATGACCTGTTTTGGTTCACTAACCACTCTAACAGCATCGTCTTCAGCCGCCGCTCACTGTACACTGTGTATCGGCCCAGCGCTTAATAGCAGACAGACACAGTTAGCAGCGAGCTGATGAACATAGTGGAGCACTCAGCAGCTACAGAGACCAAAAACAGAGCGACAAACAGCTAAAAACAGAGTGAATATTGGACACGACTCCAAATGAATAATAATGTTGCTCTGTATCTGCTGGATTTGTAAATAACCAACTGAAGTTCACCGTATCAACTAAAAAGGTTAATATGAGTCAGTGTTGCGTTCATGGCTTGTTATTGCAGGTTTAACGAGCCATTGAGCAAAACGACTTTTCCTGTGGAGTAAAAAAAACCGTACTTGTAAAAACACTTCTTTCATCAGATCAACAAACCTACAGCTATATTTGTAGCTGTAATAGCTCTAAGCGTAATTTTGTGCTATGGGATGGTAAACAGAGTTTTTTTTCTGCACTTCTGTGTCTAAACAGTTTGTTCCCTGGACTGTGGGTGGGCTGGGAAGGTCCTGTTGATGCAGAATATACACAGAAACTGAAGCCAATTTAATTCTTCGAGGCAGCATCGGGGCTCATCTACGCAGAATGAGCAAAACTACTTATTCTGTCCTTTAAGAAAAACCCTGCAGGGTACATTACATCCTCACACAATGAACCCTAAAAATACCCAAGAAGAGGTTTGCGTATGTCGAAGAAAGAAATCTCTGCATCCTCCCTTGGTTCCCTCAGCTTGTATTGCCTCCGTCATTTTCACCTTCACTAACTGCATCAACAGCAACCATTTTCACCAAGAAGAAAAAGACAACTGTTTGGTTTGCTTTTCTCTCCCACACATTAAATCAGGCCAGTGTGTTGTCACTTTGTCTCTGGAGAGAGCCACCTGTTCTCTGTGATAGCAGGCTGCTGCTACTCCATACATCATACTGTCACTGCCAGAGAGAAGACACACACACACACACACACACACACACACACACTTGAGTATTAGCTACTGTGCTGCCCCAGAAAGCTTCAGAAAGTGGGTCTTGTCCTGCAAAATTGTGCTGTGACAGAATAATGCAGCTTATTGACGACGACGGCTCTCCCAGCATGCTGCCTAGTGACAGTGGCAGCACATGGTGCTTAGTGCAGATAATGGCCCCTTCCCTCTGCATTAATGTGTGTGCACACTGTGCCAGCACAAGGACGGGAACAAGGACTCCGAGGACTTCTTCCCCAAACAAGAGCTGATAATAAGTGTGTCCTGCTGCCCTTAAACTGTGGTGTGAAATAATTAACATTGATACAATAGGTGGTCATACAATATTAACACAAAATATAATTTCATTTTAATGAATGGACTGTGTAATATCAAACTAAAGAAATGTTACTTTTTATACATTTAAAAAGTAACATTTTAAAGACCATTTCAGTGATCATTCTTCGTGTACGCCTTCGCTTGGAGAAGACAGATGAGATAAGTGGTCAGCTGAGAGACGTTTAAGGAAGTAAGAAACAGAACAAGACATTTGAAGACGTCGCTTTAGACTGTCCCCTGTTGCAATCAGCACTTTTCCCTATTGCCTGACATCTTATAAATCAAAATCATCGAGGGACGAGGAAGTACGTTTTTTTTAAACTATTAAGACTTTCAATATGAGATTAGAAAAGCAACACAACTGGAAAAAAGCACTGAATTTAGATATAAACATAAGAACAGCTCTACTACTGGCAAGTTGAGTTAAAAAAAGGCGCTGGTGTAAAAGTTTTACTATATATATATATATAAAAAAATGTACCAGACCATAAAGGTAGAAGGGTTAGATATACATTTATTATTAACTCGTGAAACACTTCCTGCAGGTGGCTCACAGTAAAAGTCTGACAAAAACAGAGCAAGACTTTGCTTATACAAATAGGCAGGAAGTCCTCAGTTCACCTCAGCTTCACTTAACAACAGAGGATTTGTTGAATATCTGCAGTGTTTTATGTATTTTAGTAGATTCTGACTGTCATTTCTGTCCTCACTTCATTTCTTTGCTTCCTTTCAGTCATTTTCTGGTAAGACAGAAACAGCAGTGAGGGAGGAGAGAAAATGAGCGACAGGGAAAGACAACTGGAATTCACCCATTTTGTCATTTTATTTTATCGCATTCTTCCTCTTTGAGTTTCTCCCCTCAGGTCACGTCAACTAAGCCTTATTAGCACAACGAGTCCAACACAACCAGTAACTGCTCCTATTTCTCCTCGAGTCACACAGCTCAGGACTCAGTGTGCAAACGTAAAGTTCATTTGAAGTATAATCACAGTGTGTGTGTGTGTGTATATTAATGGAGGTTGTACGATTTTATGTGAATAATATGAACAACAGAACAATACGGCCTTCAAGTTTAACTGCATCTTAAAATGATACTGGAATATTATTAATCTATTACAAAGGCTACACTAAGATTAAAAAAGTAAATGAAATGCACCTAAGAACAACGGCTTACAGCGTGCAGCGATACATTGTTTTGCCATTTGCTTTTGTATTATGACACTCCACTTTGTGTTATACTCAACAATCAATAATTAAGTGTGCCCTGGATTTATGTGGTGGTAAGTAGGCCTCTGATAGTGTTAGGGGAAAATGATTTTAAGAGGGAAAAGCACAAATGTGCTCATAAATAAGTGAAATAAGGATAGCTATCTGTGTGTTGTAGAAATTACTCACAGAAGCAGCAATGAACTGAACAGACAACACACACACACACACACACACACACACACAAATGTGACTGTTTGTTCACACTTTGTGTCTTAGGATGAATGACCCTGTCTTGCACAATGTTTGTCCCTGTGTGGGGGAGCAGAGGACAAAGTTCTCACTCCCAGCACATGTGGCACAGATGCTTGTTCCTCTCTAATTTCTCCCAGGCAGTAGTAACGCATTAGCCAGTGTCGCTCATTAAAAGTGGTAGGGGGAAAAGAAACTGATCGGTGAGCTCCGGTGGGGCAGTAAGATCTAAACTTTCTCTTGTTGAAGTATCAACCAGATTCTAATCACATGGATCAGCAAACTGGAGGTATTTACACTCAGTGACCCATTTGATTGAGAGTAAGTACAAGCCATGAAACTCCTATTATTAAATGTCACGTACCCGTCCAACTCAAGCAAAATAATCAAAGTATTTGTGTGTTTTCACCTCGTACCAAGGCAAAAAGTCAACTCGACAAAATGAGATCAAGGTTAGGAGCCGTAACGTTTAGGTCTGATCTTACTGGCTGCCTTTACAGATGTTAGACTTATCTAAAGACTGAAGACACTGCAGAGTCCAAAAGATGAAACCAACAGACTCATTACGGTGTGGAATTAAGCATGCTGACTATTTAAAGGCCCAGTGCATTTCCAAATGTTGTCTTGGCTTGTTTTCTGGGCGTGCCAGCTGTTGAAAAATGACTGTGCTCCATTAAAACAATGGAGCCGCACAGAGCGAACTATGTGTGGAGAACAGCTGTTTCAACTCATGATATTTGCAGCAGCAAGCAATGCCTCAAAAACTGCCTCGACGTGAGCAGCATTTTGCAGGTGAACCATGCCTTTATACTGATAGCTGCATTTGAACTTCAGTATTTTGTTCCTGCCACCAGCAATCAGAAGCACTTCTCTCTCCACAGGCAGATTACACACAACACTACAGGACACCATTCAAAACCTCCACCACAATGTTACATCTGGTCATAGCCACACAACCCTCATCGCCTGGCTTAGGCCATGTTCAGACCAACTTCCGCCCTGCGAGGCAAAAATACCCCCCCCCCACACACACGTTTGTTTAAATGAGGTTAGTCTGTCATGGCAGCGGGGGTGCCGACGCAGGGCGTTCTTGCATTACTGCAACAGCCTGCTCATACCCGCAAATACGACCACATCACCCCCATTCTTCAGAACCTCCACTGGCTCCCCATAACCTCAAGACCTCAACCCTCGCTCATCCACCCGCAACCTCCGGTCCCAAAGCACAAACCTCCTCCACCAGCCCCGCTCAAGACTCCGCTGCCCCTCACATCTGGAACTCCCTCCCTGAAGCCGATGTACTCTGCGGAAAAGCCCAGTCCTGTGAACTCTTTTAAAGAAGGCTTAAAACTTTTTTGTTCAGGCTGGTGTTCTTAAGTTGTCCTTAGATTTTT